TATCCGATACCGGTGCCAAATCGGTACTTTTGAAACGGTGCCGGTGCTTAAACGGTGCTCGAACCGGTGCTTAAAGAATGGAGAACACAAAATTGGTCCATAAACCTCTCATGTTCAGCTGTTTTTTGTAAAAAGATAACAAAGTTAGCCTTTTCTGCAGCTATGTGGCATATATGGTATCACTCTTGGCTGGAAGCAGTGCTTAAACAATGGAAAAAACACAAACTTTGTCCAAAAACCTCTCATGTTTAACTGTTTCCCACTTTTTCTTTGGTCATTTTAGCCTTTTTGGCCAGGGTGAAGGGAGTATCTGCCATCAAACAAGAGGACAGCCGCATGTAGCTATGATGATGTTTGCTAGTTCACCTTACCTGCATTAATGTAATAACGTGGTTAGCCTACTCAACGTAAATTACACACGAACATTAAGCTCCTCACGCAGAGAAGAACGGCTGCTGCTGCATCATCATCCTCATCATTTCTGCTACACTGGCAGGGCTAGGGGCCAGGACTCTATTCTTCGGGTTTTTGGGGGATGTTGCTCCGGGTCCGATAACTGGCAACCCACCCGACGTGCACGGTGTGAGGTCTCGCAGCAAGCTATCAAATACGGCGCATTTCTCGGCTTTTAAAAAAACGCTATGCGTCGCCAGCTGTTTAATCGGATTCTTGGTGTTACCTCCTTTGACAGTACCACAGTATCACCTTAAAGCACTTGTTGCTGCTGAGTTTGCATCTTTTGCTGTGAAGTACAGCCAGACTTTTGACCGCTTCGCCTTGGGCATTTTTAATCTGTAGCTCTGCTCTAACAGAACGTACGTACCTGGCCCCGCCTACTATCCTCGGAAATGTAAAACGATTGGCTAGAAGTGTATCACAGCTCAGGAAAAAAAAGCACCGAAATAAAGCACCGAAATGTGCGCTGCTTTTCGGTCTGGTTACTACCGTTTATGTCAGAACCGGTGCCATCATGGCACCGGACACCGGTACCCATCCCTATCTATGACTAACCATTTTCTATCTATTTTGGGTCCCTTGACGCTCATACTAACACTGGTAGGGACGCTGTGTATCCACCTGCTAATTTCCTGGATTTAATGATGTGAAATTAGGGACCACGTTTGTAGAGAAAACTCGCCCACAAATCGAGCACAGCAGGTCGTCTTACATGGTAATTAGGAAGTGTTAAATTAAGCTTAAGCTTTAACAAATCTCTGGGATTTGCATTTCCACAAGCAGGTTTGTAAAGTTGTCAAGAGTTTGATGAGCCCACCTCAGAACACATATATGTATCATAAGTCTTACAGCAGGAAATTGGACCAGATTATGAAAGTGTTCTTGGGAGAACACCAGGATGTATTTCATGTTGTTTCCAAGCGCATAAAAGAGTTGTCTAGTTGATAGCTATCTACAGTTTACAATGTACTCTGTGTGTTATGGTGTGTTGAGAATACAATAGATTAAAAAGTCTTTACAGCTCTGAACTCTTTTCACAAACATGTCCCTGCTGAAGCTCTGAGAAATGTTTTTGTTTGCCCATTGCTGTACTTGCTATCTCCTGCCCTATTACTAAGACTACCAGTGGAGTACAGGTATTAAACTGCTGCATGGGTGGCTTACGGAAAGGAAGGTCAGCAGCCCAATTAGCCCCTGCTGAAATGCGAAGAGGTGAAGTGATGGAGTGAAAGACAGGCAGTAAATTATAACAATAGGTGTTTCTTTTTTCTCTCTTCTCCCAAGCAGTAGATTGCTTTTTGTCCTGGTCTTACAGAAATGATTTTTTTTCCTCCAGGAGGAGAAACATTTATCTCATTTGATTTAGGATGGGAGCGTTCACCATCGTTAAATGATCCTAAAATAAAAGGAGTTGCAGTAGCAGTAATGGGACAATGTGTCAGTCTGCACACAGCAGGTGAGGAGAACAGGAAGTCCAGTCATATCTGCCATTTAACTGCTCAATTTTCAAAGTAAAAACCCTTTTTATACTACCCTGTTATACTACTGTCCTGTCGTGACCATTTGCATTTTTTCTTTTTTTTGCACAAACAAGAAAATTAGAAAAACTGTTCTCTAATGTCCCTCATTTATTCTGCAGGCTGTATCTGAAAGATGGCTGACAATTGGCCACAATCCTCTCGTGAAGCCTGAGTGGTTTTGCATAAACTGGAGGGTGGATCTCCCTTTGAAAACGAAGAATAGTATTGGCCTTTCATTCACAAGGTATGCTATCTCTTAAGAACAAAAACCCATCAGGAAAACATACTGATGCCATAGATCAAGGGAGCTTTGGGTTGTTTTGCAGTAGACGTTTATACAATCCACCGTTTGACAGAATGAAGGTTTGAAGCCTTTTAAGGTGCTTCCACAGTGGCTTCCATTTTCCAACCCAGAGGCTATGTCTATCATTTATATACAGCCTATTACTCTTCCCTGATTTCTTAGTATTGAGACGGTCCCTAACTTCATTACCTTTCCCTCACATCAAGTTGCCAGGTTTTAATATCGGATTATGAGGTTCAAATATGCCACGCAACAACAGTCAAGCTTTATCCTGCACAATGACACAACTCTGCTGATAACTGAATGAAGGTTATGAAATCTGAACTTAACTGATGGTCTCAATATCAAACCCTAAAAATACAACCCTTGTGTGTTTTCTACATTTTCAAATGTGCATCGTAGATTTGATCAAAGACGCACAACCAAATCTTTGCTTTTCATCACCCTCGCTTTCACTGTTCGTCATCCTCACAGGGATATGTGTGTAACGCTGTGTTTATGCGAGTGCGTGTCATCTTATATGAGTGTGCATGACAGCAACGTTATGCACTCCTTCATATGTAATTCAAGTGATTGCTTCTGTCCTGGTGTGACTGCAGGAGCTTAAGGCAACAGCTGTTCTCTGCTGCTCTGACTGTTGTGGCCGCATCCCACATCTCCCCACTCCACTACTGTCACTCCACATTCCTGTGCTGGCGCATGTCTGAAGGCTCAGACCTGTTTTTTGTATCATTTGAGATTGCAAAAATCTGCATTAACAAGACATGGGCGTTTTTGGAAAGGGTTAAAGGATCGTTAATAAAAGTCCAGCTGTACAGATCAGCTTTGTTGTAATTTGTAGAGGTTTGCAGATCTCTGTCAATGTTTTACACATATTCATATTCTCTCTGTTTCTTTTAAAGAAAGATGAGAAACAGGCTGAGTTGACAAAGTAATAAATGACAAACCAGCTACAGAATTAAGCTTTCCATCATTATAAATCTGTTGGACTGAAGTTATTTGAACACCTTTTCCTGTCCTAAACATCGCACTCGTGTGAATCTAACTTATTCTGTGAATCTATTCTTCTTGGGACGAAGACTAAAAGAAGACTAAAGCATAAAGACAATAGCCAAGTGGATCAAGTCTGTTTCCAAATGTCTTGCTGACACTCATTCAAGCTGCAATCTGGGCAGTTATTAGGCTGGGTCAACACCTTTGCCATGTTTCTCGAGTTGTTCTCCAGCAGTTTTAAGCATGATGGGATCTGCCGCGGGTGGGGCCACTGCCATCTGGGGGAGTCGATCCAACGCGGGATAGTGCTTGCTCTGCCAATGTTTAGGTGGGCTGTACATGTCAAAGCGATAATCACTTGAATGCCAGAACCCGAAGCTGTCAAGCAGAACACTGGCTTTTAACGAGATGATCAATATCATTCACTTCACAGGTCAGTGGTTTAATGTTGTGGCTGATTGGTGTGCATCTCTTCTTTATCTACCTCCTCTATCTATGCTCAGTGCACTCCCAGTATTGAAAGCTCCAAAAAATCCAATTCCTTTAATGACAACTTGACGCTAGCTCCAAAAATGATTTAAGCTCCCATTTTAAAATCACCCATTTCTATATTTACCCATTTAGAGTTTTATTAAGCCTAAAAGTGAGCTAAAAAGTTAGCTTAAAGTTTGTTTTGACTGAGGTGTCAGTCATTTATATACCATTGAAAGAAGTAGAAAAAAAGAGAAAAAATAAGCTTATAATTTGATTGTCTATGGAAAAAAGCATGCAAATAACATAGTCTGAAAGAAACTGTAATAGATGTCAGGGTAATGTCTCCATTAATGGAACCAGTTCCATGATATTGCTTTGATTTGTTTTTCATGGTTACGTTACCCAAGCTCTTTTCTTGGGTCTATCAGGCTTACAGGTGTGCTGGCCTTTGGCAAAAAAAAGTGTATCAATATGCAAACAGTGAAGTATTTCAAAAGCCATCATCTACAAAAGTTCCCAAGCAGGCAACAAAGAACTTTATATTGATTAATCCTCCGAGATGCATTCTACTAGCTTTGGCCCAAACTCATTTTCTCTGTCATGTTTTCTATTCTTCAACCAGCAGTTGCTCTCAGCAGCAATTATGCTATTATCTAAACCACACAAAAGACCAGTGCAGGCAAAGTGGAACAAAACACAATCTTGGTCCTTTTAACAAGTATGTGTTGCCTCAGGTAACATTAGGCATTTCTGCAGACCTCTCAAAGGAATATGGGTGGCAAATCTGTGCCAAGATTCAACTTTTTCGTGAGTAGAAAGCTCTGTTCTCTGCTATTGTATCATAGAATATCTGTATGCATGTACTAAATTTCAATACTTTAATTATAAGAAAACTGCCATGCTACTCTATGCCCCTTGTAGAAATTTCATCTGTATTAACCTCACTGACCTAGTCCTCAAGGTTTCAAATTCAGATATGCCCTATCTAGGTTAAGTGGGTATTTCTGTTTATTTCTGCATGGAACTCAATTCTTCACATTCACACCACAGTATGTCCTCCATTTCTTCTTCTTTCCCTCATGAATTATCAATAGCTTGCTCCCGTGCGTGGTGATAAGTCTTTGAAAAGTGACCGTGAATACATATAAGCAGACATTAAGAATTGATCAGCACCTGCTACATTCACATCACCACAAGATTATTTTTTGTGCTCTCCAGGAAACATAGAATACTGTATGTGTCAGAGTTCCTACCAGGAAGGGCATGGCAAGGTCAGCGAAGTAAACAAACGCGGCCCCCAGTGTAAATCCTACAGCCACAGGCACGAAAGCAAATGAGCCGTACTTCCCAGAATCCTCCGCCATGTCGATGGCTGGGGCCAGCAGTGACCAATAGGAAGCAGCCAGCATTACCTGAAATACACAGAAAAAGAGGGCAAAGAGGAAATTTAAAAAAAGAAGAAGAATATGAAGCTTGGATTTTTGTGTACTTTTGGTTTCAGTCCAAAAATGCTGTCAGGTTAGAGGGAAAAGGATGGAGGATGCCCTATAGTGCTGTAAAGTCATGAGTCACCTCTCAATTCTTTATATTTTGTTAGGAAAATGGAAATGATGAAATGATAAACATATCCATCCATCCATCCATTCGCTTCCGCTTATCCTTTTCAGGGTCGCGGGGGGCGCTGGAGCCTATCCCAGCTGTCATAGGGCGAAAGGCGGGGTACACCCTGGACAGGTCGCCAGTCTGTCACAGGGCCAACACACAGGGACAGACAACCATTCGCACTCACATTCATTCGCACATTCACACCTAGTGGCAATTTGGATTATCCAATTAACCTATCCCCACAAGCTGCATGTCTTTGGACATGATAAACATATACTATGTGGAAATCCATGGAAATAAATTATATAGGGCAATTCAATCCTTCAACACAGCCTGAACACTCCGAGGCAAGTTTTCTTGTCATTTCCTGAAGTAGTCTTCAGGAATAGTTCTCCAGGCTTCTTGAAGGACTTTCAAAGCTCTGTTGGATGCTGACTGTCTTTGGTCCCGTTCTCTGTCAAGATGATCCTACACTGCTTCACTAATGTTGAGGTCTGGACTTTTTTCTTAAGGTTTTTCACAGGAGCCAAACGTTATTGTAAGCTTTTTTTTTTTAGTGGTCTTAAGCGATAGTTCTTCAGGTGTTCAGAAGTGCTTTCAAAGTTCTTTGGATTTTGGCTGCTTTTTCACTCATTTTCAGTCCAGTCCTTGCAACAGTAAATCCTTGCACTCAACTCAAGGGATGAACTAGTGTTGTGTATATTTGTAACTGACGATTTAGCAAATAACCAACTGTTAAATTGTTACAATATGTTAAACATAGGATGACAGGCAAAAAAAACTACTTATCAAAAACTCTGCATATTTAAGCAACAAATGTCCAAAAGGAAACGCAGTTGATCCATCTACTGTTCATTGAAGCCTTATCAGAAATGCTGTGAGTGGAAGGGTGACTTCCAAGAAGCATTCTTAAGAAAGAGAAATGGGGAGAAAAGACTGAGGTATGCCAAACATGATGACTGGGGTGAAAAATCGGTGGCAACAGGTGTTATGGAGTGATGACTCTAATTTTGACATTTTTGGTTCAAATCATTGTCAATATGTAATGGGTACAACAGTGAGTGTCTACAGCTATCTGTAAAACACAGTGAAGTTCTATCAGAGTTTGGAGCTGCATTTCAGACAGTGTTAAAATTGATCGGCATATCAACACAGAAGAGTACTCTCAGATTTTCATCACTCATACAACGCCAATACACCAACTGATAAAACCATACCTAGATAACATTTTTTTTTAGAAAAACACACATAATGGAACACTTTCAGTCATAGAGCGATGCCCCCAGAGCCACAACCTCAGCATTGTTGAAGCAGTGTAAGATCATCTTGACAGAGAATGGCACAAAAGGCAGCCAACATCCTTCAAGAAGTCTGGAGAGCTATTCCTGAATACTGCATAAAGAAATTAAAAGAAAGCTTGCCCAAGACAGTTCAGGCTATGCTAAATAAAGATGATGATGCCAAATATTGACTTTCAACTCACCAGAATTGTACAAATGCTCGTTTCCCACAACCTGTATCATGTTTGTATGTTTTTAATAAATCAATGCACCAATTTTCCATTTTAAAGAAATAATGGATGACAGGACTTTTGCACAGTACTGTAAAGCTGTCCGTGTAAGCCAATCAAGACATAAATTTAAACTTGGCAGATAGAAAGTTATAAAACAAAACTATCAATCAAAATTTTTCCATTAAAAATCTTCAATCCCAAGAGCTGTTTTATAAAATCCAAAACAGTGTGACCTATAGAGGCTATCATTTATTAATATCAGATTTATCTTATGGAGATTTTTTAGTTGGTTTCATTTTATTGCTTCTTTTCTGTCGCAGCATGGCAGATGAAACTCTGTTGGCAGCGACACTGATCTTTTCAAATTCTTTCAGGTCACCTGAATTGCCTATTTGAAGCATTTCTCTGATCATTCATAACATCAAGACACAACACTCCAGTCTGAAGATCTTCAGTAACAAATGGTGCATAATAATTAACAGTGAACATCAATGTTAACAGCACTTAAAACTGCAATTGAATTCTTTTGAAGTTCCCCAAGTTTTATTGGTGCATGTGTGGATATGTGTGCTGCCATTGTCACTGTGTGTAATTGTCCAGTATTCAGTACCTTAGTCTGTTTGTATAAGCTGTCAAAGTCCAGACAGAGAGAGCAGCACACAGCAGTGCAGCTTTTCAAGCTTAATGTGTGTGTACACAACACATATTCAGCTTCTATTGTGCATCACTGAAAAGTTGCCGAAGCACTTTTTTTTGTCTTGGAGACCCCTGTTGAAGTTATGTAGAGGTGCTTATCAAGCATTGTCAGGTTTGTATAACAATGCCAAAGTTGACTAGAATCCTGGGAGATAAAAGGTTTTGTCTTATTTGTGTTGAACTATCCGAGCTTTGCAGCAATCAAGTGACTGAAAGTGACAAATGATCATCATTTCTTACTCATCAAAAAGATCCCATTCTATTTTCCATCTACACTATAACCTGTCTGACACACTCAAACACGTTATTTTATCCATTTGCCTAAATGTGATTTCTTGCCACTTTCAGATTGGCAGTCAAAAACTACCTGCACTTACTTTTAAAGCTTTCATGACAGAAATGCCATTTATTCTGAGTGCAGCAGCTTTCAAACTGAATACCCAGTCAGCAGCACCATGGAGAGGGAACAAAGTTATGAGGATATAAAAAGAAAGCTCAATTTAAAAGAATATAAATTGCATTTCTTTGTGCCCATGACAGTAAAAAATTATGTCTACGGTTTAAAAAGAAGCCAGAAAGAAACCTAGTGAGAAATTGAACCAAACTAAAAATCCAGTTGAACAATATGGCATTTAATGAAATTAAAGTTATTTCAGTGGTAATACAGTACAATACACTCATTACAAAAACAGCCAAAGAAACCCTTAAAAAAGAAGAAGAGCAGATCTACAGCATTCATTAATGCAATCAGGCCTTCTTTACATGATCTAACTGATCATTTCCAAACTCACACCATGTTTTTAGCCATGTTGGATCCTGATGATGTTTATCAAAGACCTCCATACTAATCCCAGCCCTAAGGGAAGGGTTAGAATCAGGATTTAACACCAGTGATGACTTAGACCTCAAAATGTTAAAAGGCAGCAACATTTCAGCAACTTTTTATTGTAATGTTAGAATTTTCTTTTAGTTACCCTATAAAATGCAAATGATTGGCTGACTTCTTGGTTGAAGAAGAATGACCAATTTGATACACTCACATGTATGACTGAAGTTTTTTCCTCTTCTTCTAACTGGAAAAACTTAATGAGAAGAAGGGTTTTGCCAGTGAAACTGATTACAGGGGCCACGGCACTGAACTTAATGGGGGCACTGGTTTTAAATGTGTATGATTATACCAGCAGCAGCCTGATTGCTGATTACAAAAGAAGCTCCCTTTCTCTGCTGTTCCACTTCAATTGCTTTCCAATTATAACTGGTAGTTTTAAGCAATCTGGTTGCTAAGCAAAAGCAACTGGTTCTAGTGATAACTCAAAAAGTAGGGCCTTTTCGTTTGCTCCTCTGTTAACTTGGAAACTTCTTAGAGGCTTGGCTCATTTTGACAATTTGACCTCACGCCTAGTTGCACCAGCAGCATAAGCCATAATCACACCAGACATTTTTCTTTTTTCATCTTCAACACTAGGTTTCATCACATTCAATTTCCATTCCCTGAGTAAAAAGAATGCAATTTTGCAATCTGGAGAACATTATATAGTTTTGTGCAAATTAAATTAAGCCCAGTGAGCTATCTAAATATTACAGCAGCAATCCAAAGTCAAAGTGCAATGAGTAGAAACGCTTTTGCTGCACACAGATATCAAGCCTCAGGTGCACAATCTTTGCATTTGTTATGTGAATGAGAATTCAAGCACGGTCAACCAATTACATTTCAAACTCTGTTCACCACTATTTATCTTACATCCACTGAAGCCTAACAAATAGTCCAATATTAGCTGTTTCGAAATGTATTAGTATCTGCATTTATAATGGGCGAAAAATTAAAATGTAAAAAGTAAAGAAAACATGGAAGAACTCTTCAACCATGTTGATGTTGTGTAGTTTGTCCACCAGAAGGCCCCCTACAAATTTCCAGAACATGTGTTTGAAACACACAAAAACACAACTAGCTGATCTGAGTTAGACAGCGTAAGTAAAAACTAAGTACTCATAACAAACGTTAGGGGACTATCTTTATATATAAGTTCTGAAAGAAAGAACTATCAGCTGATATCAGCATCAGTCTTAAAAATCCTATTGTGATTGGGCTCTAACAACCACTATATAATATATTAAATAGGTGGAAGTGACTTGAGAATAGTTTTGACAAAATGAAGAAAAAGGCAAGAAATCAAACTACGGACATGTACAATCAACCTATTTACAAACTTGTGCATAAGATGACTGGTGTTATAAAGAGAATTACTAACTATTATAAATTATTTCCACACTTAAAGTACAAACTACAGTTAGCTACACCTTAGTGGCAAAGAACTTGAATTAAAAACACACACATATATTTATAAATTCACATTTATCCATTTAACTCGCATTCATTTATTTTTTCACATTTAGACTATTTGTCATATCCTTACATTCTTTTGAGTGATGAGCTAAGTGGATAATAGTTATAGCTTATAGCTATTTTTAGCACAGAGACATGAAAGTTTTTACTCTGTTGATACCGAGTTTTATTTCAAGCTACATTTATAAATTCTACTTCTCAAACAAATAGTACTGATTAATGAAAGGGGTAAAATAATTAACAAAGAATATAAT